TCGGCTGTGATCAATTACTGTCTTCTTGTTCCTCACTTCTTGAATCGTGCCAACGGTTCCGATGGATATCCATTTCTTTTGATGGTGCTTCTTGTGGCCACAGCACCTCCAGGTATGTTGAAGTTCATGATTAATTGACCCCCACCCATTTTTTTCCATATTAGTTTCTTCTTCGATTAGATCTTGTAAGGCTTCGAACCTGTTATTGAGAACTATCTTGAACTCATTGAGCTTGTCAGCATCTCGAAGGAAGGCTGCATTATATCTTTGTAATTCTGTTTATACAGTTATCAGTGCTTCTTCAGCTTCAGTTTTATTTTGACAATCACCGTGTGGTGATCTGAAACTATATCAGTTCCTTTCTTTGTGCTTTCGTTTTCTGTGGACCTTCTAAACTTTTTATTGACGCGAATGTGATCAATCTGGTTTCCTGTAGTGTGGTCCGGTGAAACTCATGTAATTTCATGTATGCCTTAATACAGAAATATGGTGCCACCTATAGCCATTTTGTTGAATGCACATAAATTCGCGAATCCCTCACCATTCTCGTTTCCTTCCCTCAGTCCATTTAGTCCCATGATATCTTCATATCCGGTCTGTCGATTCTGATTTTGATGTTTACGTCTCTCACCAGGATGGGCAGGTCGTTTCCTGGGCACTTTGTTACAATCGAATGTAGCCTCTCATAAAACTGATATCTTTCATCTCTATTGCTATCACTGGTGGGTGCATAGTACAAGATATCATTGATCGTAATCTCCTTCTTTTCTTTGAAGATTCTGCAACCATGAGATTCCCATCCTATAAGTGCATTACGTGCTTCTTTGGACAGCATCAGAGCAACGTCCTACGTATGTGGAGCATTTCCTTCATGACCAGTGTACAACAGTAGCGCTCCTGAAGCTAATCTTTTCTGTCTAGCTTTGGTTTTGTTATAATCTCTTTCTTACGGTTATGACCCAGCTATTCCTATTGCTTAGTACTCTTGGACACTAAATCACTCGACAAGACCCCAAATCAGAACACGGTTGAACAGGAAAGAGATTATATTCCAAATAACAAGGTTAGATGGAAGTAAGATGCAAGTAAGAAGTACAATAGGGAAAAACGTCAGTATATTTATAGTTTTTACATGAGAAGATTCTAGAGTATTCTCCAACTATCGACCGGTGCTGATTGGTTAAGAATTAGCCAATCAGCGTGCACCAAAGCAATCGTGCATTGAGCATGCTTTAATCCAGTCTATGTCCCGTTAACAGGTTTAATGGGTTTAACTTATCCCAAGCACCACCATGTTATTTTTTTCTGCACCTACTTGAATGTTCTTTCTGACCACCCACATAGTGTGGATATTCTATGTACCTATGTTAATTATTGCTCTGGTTGTCAGAAGAGGCACTGACCTCGTGATTTTTGAAAAATCTCAGCTTTCACCTTGAGACATCATAATTCTTTTAAATGAAGACCCGTTAACTCTCAGGACAGATTTCAAATGATTTAAATAATTTTTTTGGTTGGCGTCTTTTAGCAAGGTTGCTTCTTACAGGATGGGGTTGCTAACCAAATGCCCAACCCTCCTCCTCTATCCCAGGTTCAGACCGGCAGTAGCCCTAGACGGGCTACAGGTGGAGCTATTGTTATAGTAATAGTAAAATAAAGAAAAATATATTGTCACCTTTAAGCCTGAACTGAATTTAACATGTTTTGAACTAGTTCACAAGTGGACTTCCAAAATACCTATAATCACAACTGAAATACGTTGTACTGGGGAAATAACCAAGCATCCAACCACAAGAACGCAACTGTTAAGCTTGAAAATCCATTTATCGTTAATGATACAATGGTATAACATTGGGTCTTGTTTGACTTACACTGCTATAAACTATTGATTTATCAGAAGGGTTTTGTCGATATTATAGTAGCTTCAATAGACTCATGATCTCAACCATTGAAATTATTGATTTATCGTTGATAGGGTAGGATCTATGATTAAAACGAAGTCATTTTCAATAAACAAAGTTTTTAAGAGTATTTTAAAATAGATGGGTTGTGGCTGCTTGTGGAATGCAGGACGCATTTGACCGCTCAACATTTTGTTCACTGAGTCAGCATTCAACAGTCTATATTTCTAACTTCAATTAATTAGCGTTATTGAGTAATTATCTTCGAATACCATTGGTAGGTAAGTGCCTCCTGTACAGCATAATTGAACAATGACCACAGCCTCGCCAACAGAACCCTGGAGATTACCTTTGGAAATCAGCCACTAGTTAGTACATGGTTTCTATTAATGTCAGGTGTTTGTTTTGCTTTCAAGTAGTCAACTAGTAATCAACTGAATAATTCATTTTTGCCATGAAAAATCACCGTAAAACGAACCTTAAGTGTGGTTGGGCACTGCTGACGAGTCTAATACTAGGACGAAATGGATGCTGAATGATTCTTTGTTCCCAGCGCTTATTTAACTAGGGTCGATTCGCAATTTAAACAATGAAACTCAACAATCTACGCAAGCCTCTTAAGCCAATAAAGAACATAATTCGGAAAGAAACCCCTTTCATCTTCGCCTGCACGAACACCAGTTAGCAACCAAACACCATGACATATCCTCGATGCATGTGGACAGATTTGGGTGTACCCCAAGCTGGAAAAATGTTAAGGTCTTAGATAGAGGGATTACTAAAGGCACCAGGGAATTTTTAGAAGCTTGGGATCAACGAGAGATACAATCGAGGTAAAGAGATAAACAATAACAGGTTAAAGATCAACAAAAACCAGTCAAGATCGAGGTCGACGGAACACGCTGTGAGCGGAGAAATTCAAAAAATTCACTTCTACCCGACATTGTTGGTGATGATGTTGTTCAGAAGAACAATGAAAACTGTATGACCAAACCATCCAGCTCAGAGAAGAAAATTCCACCTAAATAAACCAAAAGTACCCAACAGTAACCTATGCGCAGCACTCTTGGTTAATGATAGGCAAATGGATATCATATCTGCACCACAAGTTGAAAAAGGTTTATCAGGCTTTATGAATCTCCATCAAGATGTCATCAACAACCGACTTAACAAGGATGATGCGACTTTAACATTAACACGTCAGACTTTACTCTATACGATTAGACTAGTCGGTAAATTTGAAGTATACTGGTGAACAACCTTAAGGTCATAATCCGTTTTGCCACTCAGGAGACAGAAAAGGTAAGTGAACGACTTATAGTCCTAGGACACATGATTAGGATTCTTACATAACAAATAATGTTAGTTCGTCATGGAAATCCCAACCCTGATTCCAAACACAAACTTCTAACCCTATTTTGATATTTGTGTAATAGCTTTGAAGTTGCTTTCTCGATCCTCATTGGTATGGCAGAATACTTTGGGGTTAACCAAATAGTCATGGATGCGGATTAGTTCTGAAACGCCATTTTAGATTTAGATGATGAGGACCGCATCTTAAACATTTTTGTGTTGTCGCTCAGGATATTCAGAAGACTTTATTTTCCTCAGAATCTTTATCAAACACTTCTGTGTCATATGAATACTTCAAATCACTTAAAGGAACTCCAGGTAAAAGAATAATCCTTTAGAAGTCAAACAATAAAAAATTTACTTCTAAGGGTATACCTACAGTGAAATTGAATAATAATGAATAAAGACGTCTTTAATTCTCGTAGAAATCCCATCACAACTTATCCTGAAGATAATTCTCAGGTTGCTTTACCAACTAATGAGAAAACTTGACCTCAGTGAATTCAAACAAATAATACTGTGGCCTAAGGAACTTATCTGATATAATGTAGTCACTTAAACAGATTATTTAACAAACCACAATGTTTTCCAGTAAAGTTAAATGATGTGTTAGCTATCTAATTTGTAATGAGTACTTCGGGTCTACCCAATTAACTGTACGCTACATGAAGATGGGATTCGACTGTGAATTAAGTGCATGAGTAGCATTAGAAGTATGGTGAATGTCAGTTCCCAGTTGCCCACATTGTGGAAGGATACTTATTCTTTAAGGGACTGAAAAAGAAACTGAGTAAGAAGTAACCCTAAAGCCCTGCGGACAGCTCCTTGAAACCACACTTAGTTGGTTTGCCAGTATTTTTTCATATGTTGGGTGCATATCTTTCAGGCCTGACCAGTAGTAATGGACACCTATGAAGCAAGATGAGATGTGCTATTTGACGGGTCGGCCTTTTCTAACCACACTATTTCGTTGCAAGAACGAAATATCACTGTCAATGCTGGTTATTTTGTCTTAATACCTTACTTCCATCAAATTGCTGTACAACCATCAGTATTCACATTGCCCTACGACTTTGAGCTAGCTGCTTTTAGTTTTATTATTCTCCAATTAACCTACACGGTGTGGCAGGACCTGAACAAACAGGTGTTCCAATTAATATAGTACAATTGGGTTATCACGAAATAAAAGGCCAGCCACCCCACCAGGGTTGTACGCCACACAAATATAACTAATTCAACGAACAACAAAGATCCCACAATTACATTTTAGAAAAGTTCTTTATTATACACAATGTACGGTTTGAAAAGTCTCTACATGTCATTAAACTATTTAAAATAATTTAAAAAATAATGCTATTTCTGATTTTTCTCAGAAAAATTACAACAGGATGGAGACAAGGAACACTTAATAGGAGAGGAATGTGAAATGATTGCGCGACTGCTTCTTTCCAAATACGAGTTTATTTAATAGGATGAAGACAATGTTAAAACATACACGTTATTTTCAGTTTAAATACAATCCAAGTTAGTAAACAGCAAATCATAACACAGTCATACGGTTGTAAAAAGAAAAACAAACACATGAGGTAATGTTTGTTTGTGTCGATGTTTTATATGATAACTTTGTAATAAACATACAAAAACCGAACAAATGCTTGAATGGAAAGTATTAACAAGATGACAAAAAGGCAGGCAAGAGAAAAAATTTGGAATATAAGCAGTTTCCTTTTTTATATATTCAATTTTCTAAGCATCTTTAGAATTAAATTTATCTTCACTTGATACAACACTATCTGAACGATTTGAACTTAGAATTTCTGTATTAAGATTATTTAATTCGTGAATAACTGGAGTATTTGATCGACTGAATGACAATTTCTTAATTTTAGATCCTAAACGGTGAAATGATGATCCTACTGAAGTAATTAATGTATCAGGATGTAAATGTGGACTCTGTTGATCAGGTGTTAAAGAGTGCAGCGAAGGAGAAAAATTTAAATTACCTTCTTTTGTAGCTTCAGCTACTTCCAATGATCCAATAAAAGCTGTATGTGACGGTTTACGTTGACGAGTAGGTGGTAATTCAGGCCAAGGTGATTCATTATCCATAGGTGATTCAAAAGTATGAGGTGTTGATAGATCATTTTCATCATACGAATAAGGTGACAGAAAACTGCCTCTTCGACTAACACCGCCTTTTGACTTTGCACTAATTCTCCTTTGACGACTACCAGGGATATTAAGTCGACTATAATAATCTGAATCACTGACAGCAGTACCATCAGTATGATCATCATCATCAGTTTCAATATCGATTTTACAACCAGATTTAACTAATTCAGGAATTAAATTCGAATCGGAAAGACATGTATCTACAAAATATAAACTTGTATTTAAATTCCTTTCCAACAATGGAACAACTTCAAAATCATCATCATCTAAACCGAACGGTGAAACAAGTGACTCAGCTACCTTAAGCCAGCCATTGTAAAAAATAAAAGAAAGAATTGTGAATACTGGAATATTTGGTAATACTCTAGGAAATGATAAACCACTATTGATATTTGAATTATTGGCAGGATTGTTGAGAATAACACTGCTGACATCATTATTATTGCTGACAGATGTTAAATTAGATGAATTGACTCTGGTTGACATATGCGGTAGGATTGAAGGGGCATCAATAAACTGATGACCGAAAATTGTAACAGCAAAGTAAATGTACACAGCCAGCGCTACAACCTGTGAAAAATGGAAGTGAAAATTCGCAAAATCTACAAATTAATGTTAAACCATGAGTTTACTCTCAAATAAGAATATTAGTATAAAAAAAATAAACAACCAATACCAACATAATTTTATGGTTTGTATCATGAACTGCTCTTAGATAACCATTGAAAACCGAAAAGCAATCGACAACTGTTTCGTCCTAGCATATGAACTCTCAGCAGTGAACATTCACAACCCAAACAATGATTGAACCCAGAACCTTTAGGTCTCGTGGTGAGCACTTAACCCTTAGACCATTTGGTCGGCAATCGATTATTTTCATTATTAAATTTAGTCAATGCGCAATATAATTTTCCCCACTATTTGCGTCTAACACGATCTGTACATTATGAAACATATGACAAAAGCCATCTACTCAGTGTAAGAAGACATAGATTGGTAAAGTTTGGGAAGTATACATAGCGTACATAAGTTAATATATCATATAAAACTTAATGACAAATATCTCCTGTGTTAGAATATCAACGATTCAGTAGGGTTAGTAATAAATGAGAAGAATACATTATTACATTAATCTTGAAGTTAAAAACTTATCACAACTTTAAATATTTGTCCGAACAATTGAAAACCAGTGAAAAGATAACATAATCTCTAGAGTTAACAGTAATACGTCCGTCTGATGGCTCAACAACGAATATAATGAGCAGAAGTTTGCCTTCCTTGATTTAATGCCTGCAAGAAGGAGCCTTTAAAAATGGAGGATATTCGTAGATCACTAGTATTCCACTGTAGGTATCTTTGAAGCATCGCTCGTATATAATGGTGCCATAGAGTTGGTAATTCTGGGGTTAGACGCAGGCTACCATGTAACGATGGAAACTGATAAGTGAGGTAGTGAATCGTCATTGACTGAGGTAGTCAGGACATGTATTACATATACCCGATCACCGCCTACCTCGATTGGAGATGGTGATTTGTTTAGGGGTAATTTGGAGGAGAGCTGGGAAGCTAGAATAAAAGGTGGCATCAGTCTACGAAGTTGGAATGATACGTGTAAGTAAGTGCAGACTACTCAAAGATCTGCGCGATAACCGCGATCAGTGGTTGGAAACTCTGGGTGACATGACTTAAAACCATTTGTAATTGTACAGGTACATTCACTCTCGGTCTTTCCTGAGATAATAAGTTTTTTTATTAGCTTGAAAGCTTCTTTCTTTTATTCTAAGGATACACAATTTCTTCTAGAGTTATTTGGTCTATGTCAAATGTTTTCTGCCGCCACTAATAGTATTACTAATTATTCTACTCTGACATCTCGCTAACCTGGTTTGGCAACTTGAACCGATGCACATATGTGCTAGGTTTTACGTTAGATATGACTGAATGACTAACTTTTCAAAGAATCGATATTTCCTAATGAGTTAACCCTTTATTATAACAAAGTTAGAATACAGTATGAACTGTAGATATCCATATAGTAACTTATCTTGGTCAGTTCTTCTTTCAAACAACTTACCAAAACCTTTTGGTCTACGAAACATTCGAAGTGTCTAAAGAGTATAAATTCTGGTATCACAAGTTATACAGGACTATGCACAACCAACCTTATTGACTAATCTGATTTATAGCTAATAAATACATAAGCAGTTGGTACTGGGTCGTTCGCATTTCATGTTTATAACCCCTTTCGTTTTATTTCCAAAAGTTAAATTTGCAGAGTATAACAACTTTTGATCCTAAACATAATTAAAATTCACTTAAACTATTACTCAATAGATTTTTGTTCCTTACTGACTTTCCATTCGCCTTTATGTAGTATTATATGTAAATCTATATAAGCTTTCACATAAAATCATGTTTGTTCTAATAATGATCAGTCGTACTGAATATAATATTTGCTTTCTAGCAACTGAATGTTGAAGAATTTCTATAAAGTTGATAAGCCGTTATTGTCATCCAATCAGTTAGTCATAATCGACGTACAAAGTGAAACATGTGTATCCAATTGAATCGCTAAGCAACAACTTACCTCACCAAAGCAAAATGAAAGTAACTGGATGAATGACAGAATAGCTAACAGGATAGTTGCGCCGATTATAACAAAAAATTCTAAACTTTAGAGAGCATGATTCGAAATGAGTTTGCAGAATAAAAAACGAGACATGACATTGAAATTTAAGACTTAAGGAAAGATAATGAGTGGATGCATTTGTTTAACCGGGTTCGATTTTAAACTAGGTCACCTAAAAATCTGAAACAATCAATCACGATTATTCCATGGATCCAAATCAGGTAGTCTACAACTATCAACATAGTCCAAGTACCCATTCTCGACGATAAACTATTGAAAATAGTTGAGAGATTTGTGTATTTTGGTAGATCCGTGGATGGTGGTAACAAATAAAGTCACAGATATACAATTTGGGTTACCTTTGTTGCTGTCCTGATATTATTTTGGTTGATAAATTTCGATTGTTCAACACTGCCTAGCGCGACAGATTAAACTTCAATCTCTTAAGACCTAACCTCTGCACATTAAGGGTTTTCGATTGATATGTTTGACTGATATTGGTGTGATAGCACCTCTCGTTTGGTGGTAACATTACATAATTATTAAAGACTCAGTGATTAACAAAATGGATACTGCCACAAATGCGTGTTAGACAAATTTTTCATGCATCACCATGACGAGATAAAATTAAAGAAATGAGCACCGAAAAATAAGAAATAATAGTGATGACAATGATAGTGAGAAAAAATAAACATTACAGAATATGGTTTGAAAAGAAGAGAAGAAAAAACAGGAAGTGAGAAATAATATTGTAGATCGAGACCTATAGGAAAATAAAGAGTGAATACATTTGCACTAATGTAACCAACACTGGACCATGTTACTCAACATCAACTGACTTTATTATCCTGGGCATCTGACTCTGTAGACCGAAAGTTTCTGAGGCAGTGTCTGTCATTGAAAGGCGTACCTCAAAAGTACATAAACCCTGTGAAGGCTCTTTACTTAAACACTAACAGTCGAGTCAGAACTTATGGCGAACTGTCATCTGCTTTCGCAACCTCAAGTGGTGTCCGTCAAGGCTGTCCACTTTCTCCATTTTTGTTTAACTTCATAATAGACCTATTGATGGAAATAACATTCTCGTCTACTGAATTCTCGGGTATTGATCTCCTTCCAGAAGGTCCACTTATCAACTTAGAATACGCAGATAATATAGTTCTGTTTGGTGAAGACGCTGATAAAATGCAGTCTTTTGGTAGCACTCAGCAACAATGCCAGGATATTTGGGATGTGTTTCTACCCCTCTAAATGCAAGTAGTTACTTCACGACTGGTCTGCATCAGCACCTGAACTAAGGATAGGGAGTGAAGTGGTCGAACGCGTAGACAACGTCACTTATCTTGGAAGTCTGATCAGCCCTAATGTGTTGGTGTCTGACGAAATCTCAGCACGGATTCGAAAAGCTCGTTCGGCTTTTGCCGACTTACGTCACCTATGGCGAAGGCGAGATATCTGTCTATCAATTAAGGGACGGGTATACTGCGCAGCAGTTCGTTTTGTTCTACTTTACGGCTGCAAAACGTGGCCACTGAAAATAGAAGATACTCGTAAGTTACTAATATTTGATCACAGATGTCTTAGAAATATTGCTCGTATTTGCTGGGATCACCGGGTAAGTAATAGCGAGATTAGACAGACACAGGGTGTTAGGGAATGATGGTAAATCAGTTGGAGGTTGTGTATCTTCATCGACTAAAGTGGTTGGGTCACGTGTTACGTATGCCTGAACACCGATTACCACGGCGTGCAATGTTGACTAGTGTCGGAGACGGTTGGGAGAAAGTTAGGGGCGGCCATACCAAAATGTGGCATCAGTCCATAAAGTCATAAACTTCTAGCCTAAGCCATGTTGCAGATGCAGACTACGTGGTTGGGATCCGTGCGACTATCGTAAACAATTGCTGGAAACTCTGGGTAATATGGCACAGAATCGATCACAATGGCGTAGGTGTATACACTGCTTGTCTTCCCTTAAATCGTGAGATTAAAATTACTTTATACCATTCTTTCTACCAACTAATTCTTTCTTCCTGTATTATATCCTTATACACAATCTTTCTTTTATACATTACTACCATTGAAGTAACTAATTCTATGAATTCGGTGATCATCTTGTTGTGTTAATGAAGCAACTTAGACCGATTCATATATATTCCTGGTCCTACGTTGTAACTGGCTGATTATCCTGGCCAAAACCAGCTGGTCTAGATTTACCTACACAAGTCAGTTCAATAACCGATTCCATTTCCTTATTTGGTCGTTCCTAGCTTTCTTATAACTTATTCCTCATCCAGTCAACGCTGTTTAATGACAAACACTACTATAAAATCTCTCGGTGTACGGGGTTGAATGCTCTCTTCAAATAATTACAAGCTTTACGAAAAATATTTAGGAAAAAACACCGCAACTCAACTAGTATATTTAACTTAAAGTGTGATTTTTATGGCTTCATTAAGTTTTAATAATAATAAGTAAATACTAAAATGGGTAAGCAAAAACCACAGAGATCAATAGACGTAACGAGTACTAAAAATGACTTGGAATTGTAACTTTAGTAAACAGTAATACGAAGCCCTATGAATAAAAAAATATTTCTTAGATATTTTTCGCTTTAACTAGAATCTTCATTATTATTATTATTGTACCCGATTTCCTTATAAGTGTTATTTCACTACTTTAAGGACATCTGTTTATGGTGTATAAATCCTTTGATTAAATGTGACAATTTAGTACACTAATTTTTACTTCGTGTCTGAGTTGTCTACCATTTCAGGCTTTATATGCGTGAAGCCGTAACCTATGAATTTTAAACAATGGTTCATAAGTTAAAAGTCCACCATACCTACTTCTGTTTAGGAAGTCAAGAAGTATTACTAACTCACATATAAGCAGTTTGACTTAAAGGTAGAGACCCACTATAACAAACCCAAGTACTACG